TGTAGTTGATATCCAGGGCATGTGTCAAAATAATTTTCAGTAATAATAATGAAATTAAACAAATATTAATAATGGTTGAAAAAGAAATGCTGTCCATGAAAACTTCCCTCACAGTCATGGTCAGTGTAGTGCTTCCTTACATTGGTGGTCAGTGTAGTGCTTCCTTACATTGGTGGTCAGTGTAGTGTTCCCTTACATTGGTGGTCATTGTAGTGTCCCCATATATTGTTAGTCAGTGTTGTGCCTGCCCTACATTGGTGGTCAGTATAGTTTCCTCTTACAGTGGTGGTCAGTGTACTGCCCCCTTTCTTTGGTGGTCAGTGTAGAGTCCCTTACATTGGTGATCATTCTAGTGTCCCCATATATTGTTTGTCAGTGTTGTGTCCTCCTACATTGGTGGTCAGTATAGGTCCCCCTTACAGTGGTGGTCAGTGTACTGCCCACTTTCTTTGGTGGTTATTGTAGAGGTTCTTACATTGGTGATAATTGTAGCGTACTTTCACTCTGTTGGTCAGTATAGCACCCTCTTCCATTGGTGGTCTTTGTAGTGGCCCTTACATTGATTACCATTGTAAGTCCCCCCCTACTTTGATGGTAGTATAGTGCCGCCTTACACTAGTAGTCAGTGAATGTGTTGTTATTTTGGTGGTCAGTGGCAGATGCCCCCCTCCCAGCTTCATGGTCAATGGAGAATGCCTCCCTTCTAGCTTTGATGGTCAGTAGAGAATGTCCCCATTCTAGCTTGGTGGTCAGTGGAGAAGGGTCCCATTACTTTGGTGGTCAGTGTGAAGAATAGACATACAAAGGTGATCAGTGTTAAGAATACCACTTACGCTGGTGTTCAGTGGGAAGAATTCCTCTTAAATTGGAGGTCAATGCAAATGGGGAATCCCCACTCACCACTTACATATAGCTGAAAAGATAATTGATATCAGTGGTAACTTTTTTGAAAGGTAGAAACTGCTTATTGCTCTAGGGACTTTACGAAGAGTCAAGGGTTATGTTAGGAGCTAACCCATAATGCATAAGCATAGAAATGGCTGTATAACAAAGCAGCCACAAAAGGTATGGAGGAACTTTATTGGCACGTTGCCTCTCAACAAAAAGACACACGTGCATCAACTAAAAATAAATTGTATTAATATAAATTCAACCAAGCATATCAGGTTGATAACTATTGAGACTAAATCCAACAAATTCATTCAAAAGTATATACTTAATACTGAACATAACTCCTATAGGTTATAGCCCCATCCACAGAATATACTGTATGGAATATACGTTAATCTGACAGTTCCAATAGAGGGTAGTACCGGATGCATATTAGTACAAAACAGCATACATACTATGGTTCAAGCACAGGTAGGCTGTGGAGGGGTTATAATATCTCAACGCGTTTCGCAGATATGCTTCTTCTGCTATTATCAATAAGGGTTATGTTCAGTATTAAGTATGTGAGGCTTGTAAATGTAATTGTTGGATTGAATCTCAATATTTATCAATCTGATATTCTTGGTTAAATTTGCATTGATAAAATCTGATTTTAATTGATGAGAGCCAACTCACCAATAAAGTCCCTCAGTACCTTTCAGGCTAGCCATTTATTTGCTATTGCTCAACAATCTCTGGCGGAAACCTAGTTAAGAAAAGCTGACCTGTAGCTAGGGAGGTGAATAAAGACCTATTGCAAAGTACTTTTACTGCTTGTTCAGAAAATGTGAATATTTTAATGTGCCTTGCCTGGACACATATTCACTTTAATTATGTTTTTTTTCCAATTAAAATTGTACCTTTGATTGAGTAGGTCAGGGAGGGGTGTATTTTTTTTGTATAATAAATCATTTAGCTGTATAAATGTCCTTAAGCACTTGGATGAACACCAGTTCTCTGTTTTCATAATTGGATATTGGAGAGGCACCACCTGGTGTAACTGGAACAATGCAGAAGGTACAAGAGATAGCAAACGTCACCAGCTGATTAAGTGGTCCTTGGGCGCTGGGCTGGTTCCAGTTCAAGGCTTTGTACCCCAGGGGTTCTGCTTTTATGGCTCATTGAACCCTAAAAGCAGCAGGTGGGATCCTGTATCACAATTTATAACTGTCAACTAGACAGGCATTAAACTTTACAATTTTCAATGTGTCACTGGCTACGGTAAGATGCCATGCCACCAAACCAGTCTCTGTATATGACACTAATGTGACATTTTTAGTACAATGCATGGCAATGTTACTTACAAAGGAAGCAAAGCCCTGCTTTAAACTTCTGGATTTTGTTAAGCAGTGCTACAAAGAAAAAAAAACATTAAAATTGAATGGTAAAAACAAAATGTAGCCTAAAGTTAGCAAAAGACTAAAAAACTAAAAGCACAAGGAAAGGAAAAAAATTCATTAGAGTTAACAAGGGGCTACTAATGGGTTTAAATGGACTAAATACACATAAAATACATATAAAGGAGCTGGTTTAAATGACAAAGGATTTGTACTCTTGTCCATCCCATTCTAAGATTTACACAGCTCTGCCACAGAGCATTAAGAGGAAATTAGATTTTTCACTGCTGAAGTTCAGTAATGCTTATAGGTCTTGTACCACCCCCAGCCTTTGTATGGACAGTAAAAGGAGAGATAGCAGACTGATGAGCTCATCTCTTTGTCACTCTCTTCTCATGTTGATATGCTTTGTTTACTGCCACTGCCATCGGCACATCCCTGTATTGATTGCTCTGAATCATCTATGAACTCTTTACAGAGGCCAGTCTGTTAAAGTTTATTTTTTAATCTACTTGAGCTCTCATACTACCATCCTGATTGAAGCAGGAACCAAAACGAGTTGGCTGTTTTGTGTAATCTTGGTCAAGAAGAACCATTTTAGCGTTTTGGACTCTTATACTTTTGCCTTGACACTCCATAGACACACACAGCGCAGTTAGTTTGGCCCCTCCCCTTGATCCCTCTTTGCAGCATTTGATTGACAGCAGCAGGAGCAAATGACTCCCACTGCTGCCTCTGTGTCCTGTGAGAAGAGAAATCATGATTCATCAGACCAGGCCACCTTCTTTCATTGCTCTGTGGTCCAGATACTAACTTACCCATTGTAGTTGCTTTGGGCTGTGAGCATGGGCCAGAAAGGGCCCTGGCCGGTGTGTCGCTACACAGCCCCATACACAAACTACAATGCCCATTTTTTCTTCTTTCAACACATCAACATCAGAGCCAACATGTTTACTTGCTGCGTATTCCATAGACTTTCAAATACCATTGTAACAAAATAATCAATGTTATTCACCTAACCTGTCAGTGGTCATAACATTATGGCTTATCAGCGTATCTATCTATCTATCTATCTATCTATCTATCTATCTATCTATCTATCTATCTATCTATCTATCTCTATCTATTATGGGAACTCGCTTCAAAGTGGTAGAGCTTTTAAACGCACACAGCTACTTGCTTTCTTTTCAGGGCCTTTTTAGCCCACTTTTATTTAAACGAAAGTTCAAAACAGAAGTTTCCCACACAGGGGTATCGATTATCCACAAAACAATGGTTCAGCCTCCTGGCTTATACTCAGCTTGCTGTCTGTCTCCTGCAGACTTCTTCCCAAAAATATGGCACTTGCACACTGCTGGCCTCTAGCACACAGCTAGTCTCTAGCAGCCCCTTGCTGCTTTTGGCTTCCACCTCTCCTAGGTGAAGCCCACCTGACTTCCAGGCAGTGACCTCCCGTCTTCCAAGTGGAGCCCTCCTGACTCCTATCTGCCGGGGTGGAGCCCTGCTGACTCCTAGCTGCCGGGGTGGAGCCCTGAACCCTGGTCCTGACCCTACAAAAGAGCCGTGCACACCTGTGCAATCAGTGTAATGGCCATTCCCAAAACCTGGTCCCAGGATTGGAGATTTCATCCCTCCCAGATCTCTTTGAAATCTCCCGGCTCCAGATCCCAAAACAGACCTTACAAACAAAGGAGGAAAGTGAAAAGCCACTTTCCTCCGTATCAAACACTTACCCTGGAGCCCCTCAACCTGCCTTGCTGAGAATCCTGGGTGACAGATCGCCACACTGTCACACTATCTATCTAACACGTGTGTGTGTGTGTGTATATATAC